ATACGATATCGAAATAAATAAGATATAGTCAGATTTAATCATAAAAATGAAAGTATCATATACAAAGAGATTTTTATCCATCTCAGTATAGACGCATAATAAAACTATTTCTCATCATATTAAATATAACAAAACATGTTTGAAAAAGTTCTATATTGTTTAAAATGAATTCTTTTATAGAAATTTTGTAAAAATTTTAATGTGACATCTTTTTAAAATAAATTTAAACCATTATCATATAAATATAGATATGTCAAAATTGAATGTTTGCTTAAATAATTTTTAGACGAAAAATGTTTTTATAAGAAATACAAAAAGTAAATTTATTTTATTTGTAAAAGACCAAATAAAATATCATAATAATTATGAATATGATAATCTTAAGAGAATAAGTGATATGATATGTTTGAATTGAATAATTTCATGTATAAAATCAATAAGAATATTCAATAGATAGTAGATGTTAGTAATTGAATAAAATCTAATTAATAAATTATTAAATATCTTTTTACTTATTAAATCATCAAAAATATATTGAAGAATTTCGATAGAAAATTTATGAAGAAATAGAAAATATTTTAATAGCAAGTTTTCTGTAAAAGATATAACTTTTTATTAAATATTCAACTCATTCTGTTGAAAGTAAAGATGAATCGTTATTAGATGATATATGTATAAGTGTTAATATTCTTTCTTGCAATGAATCGTCTATATTCTACATATATTTATTTTTTAACTAAAGCTATACTAATGAAATAATGTCGATTCATTTTCTTTGACGTACTTTTATTTAAATTAAATATCTATGGTTACATTTATTTCATATGTCATTCAAATGATGATAATCATGCATATCGAAGACAATCACTTAGTGGTCATTCTATTTGTAATTCTCTTGTGTTACTTTTATTGCTCATTATATGTATGACGAGATATTTTATGAACCTATTTTCTCGTAGTTGAATGCATTCTTGACAAATCTATCTGAAAATATTCAAAAAATACATTTAGAATTTATTTCATCGTAAAGTTCAATTATCTGGTTGAGTGCTTATCAACTTCAAGTAATTTTAATCTGATAACACATATTTATCATTCGATCATTTCTTCAATTATTCTAGTACTATTTTTTGTCAAGAAATTTACTTTGAGAAATAAAACAAATTTCTTTAGAAGTTTCATTAAATGAAATCAACAATTAAATTTAAATTTTGGATTGTTTCAGAATTCCTATTCCTTTTTATTTTATTTGAATTTCGTTTTTTTTCCGTCTTAATGACAATCTTTCCGAGATTTGTTTTGTTCAACAAAACTCATTTAAATACGAGTTTTATTATCAAGTTTTCATAAAACACTTCTTTTTTCTTCAATTTTGAACAATTTTCAAGTTTTATCAAATCGAAAAAGCAAAAAAAATGATTATTTGCATCAAATAAAAATATTCAAATAGAGTTTTATCAGAATTTTTTTTTTCAAATTTATTCGATTTTTTCATTGATTTTCAACAAAAAATTTCATTCACAGTAATTTCAAATTTTTGAATTCGATCATTTCCATTATCAACAACATAAAGATTTCCTTCATTATCAAAAGATAAACCACTTGGACCACTGAATTGATTTGATTCATTTCCACTACGATTCCCACCAACAACAACTTCACCTTCTTCTTCTCCTCCTTCATACCAACGCATTACTCGGTCATTCCCCCAATCTGCCACATAGATTTCACTCAAATCATCAACAAATATTCCTTGAGGATTAGACAATTGATTGGGATTTCTTCCTTGATCATTTCCTCCAGCCACAATTCTTCCTTCATTTGCATCTTTTCTCCATTTCATCACACGATGATTGTTGCTATCTGATACATAAATAGATTGTTCTCCATCAACAAAGATGAAAGTAGGAGAATTGAGCTGATTAAATTGATCTCCTTTTCCATGTCCACCAGCCACTAGAATTCCTTCATTCTTATATTCACCCATTTTCCATCGTCTGACTTCATTCTTCTTATAATCAGAAACATAAAGAAATCCATGTTTGTCCATTGCCAAGCCATAACAGTCAATATTGTCAATGAGAATTTGCTGGTTTTGATTCAACCATTGAATTACTCGGCTGTTACCTGGATCAGCAATGATGACTGAATGATCTTGTTGATCAACAATTACATCTATTGGAAAATAAAATTCATCCATTTCATCTCCTTGTTCATTTCCACATGCAATGATTTGTCCTTCTTTTGCATTACATTTCCATTCAACAACTCGATGATTCTCACCATCGGCAAGGAAAATATTTTTGTTTTTATCAATAAAGATTCCGTCAGGACGGTTGAGTTGATTTAATGCTTGTCCTCGTCCATTTCCACCAGCCACAGTAATGCCATTTTGTTTCCATTTATTGAGTTTGGGTTCTAGAAAGTGGTGAAAACAAAAGATTTTTATGGAAAGAAAAAGATTAATTTTCATTGTAACTTTGATTATGTTATTGTCAAACTTGAAGTTTCAATGAAACATTCACAAAACATATTTAGTGAAAAGGCAAATTTTCTTTGACTTTTTCTTGTTGAATTTGTAAAAAACTTTATCCAAAAAAACAAATAATTTGAAGTTTTTTATTTGGAAAATAAAAATAAATTGTTTTGAAAAGAAAAGAAAAATTGAAAAAGAGAAAAGATTTTGTTGATTTCATTTTTGTTAAATAAAAATTTGCAAATAATTCAATTTTGTTTTTATCAGTCAAGCATTTTTTGAATCTTTGAGAAAGGTTTTTTCTATGTAATACTATTTCATATCTTATCATTCTTTTATCTTCGTCATCACTTTTCTTTGTCTTAAAAGTTTTTAAAATTATTTCTTAAAGACTTACTTATTAACGAAATTTCATTAAAAGATGAATGTGAGCAATCGATAGAAACATTTGGTGGATTATTCAATTCTTCTGTAAGTTTTCTCAGTTGATTTATTAAATAGTTTAAATTAATTTCATTAAAGTCATTTTCTTTCTGTAGTTGTTGTATTTGCTTATTGAGGTCATTAAATTTATTTTCAATATCATTAATAAATGTTTGTAAATATCCAATAACAGTTTCTCTACATTCTTTTGCTTTTTGATGAATTATTTCAATTGCATCTATTTCCCATTGATCAATTTGTTCTAGTAATGAATGGTTTTGTGGGTTTTGTTTGTGTTCATTGATTGTTTGTTTAAATTCATTGTAACCATGACTAATATGATTTAATTCTTCATTTAATCGTTGTTGATGCTCTGGTATATGTGTAGAACAAAATCTTTTTGCACATCCTTCGCAAGTATATGTATTGTTTTCTCTATGACATGTAAAACATTTTCTTTTATTGTTTGCCATTGTCATGTCTTTGAATAGAAGTTCATAGAATAATGAATGTCTTCTTGTCTACTTTTATAAATATAAACTTGATAATTGAAAGATAATAAAAACAGTGCTTGGTATAGTCGAAGAAATAGAAAAAGAATTTTTTTTATGACCACATTCCGCTGATAAAACTGATGTAATATATAAGATAGTCAGACTAAAAGTAGAAATTGATTTGTTTTTAATTTCAAATAAGAAACCAAATACTTTTTGTGATATTTATTGAATGAAGGAATCTTTTAATGTAGATTTGGGTATAAGTAAAGATTAAACATAGATCTGCACTTACAACTTTATCTACCAGATAAATGATATATCAATCGCTTAATCCACTCAACTGCATTGTCGTGTTCATTTTTGTCATCAAAATAATTGTCAGGTCTTGATATTCAATAAATTACAATCTTCGGATAAGGTATCTTTATTGAAGGAAAGAAGAGAGAAACGAAGAGTGGTAGATATATGAAGATGTATATATAACGACAGCTATATATATATGTGTATGTGTTGGATAAAACCATAACAGAAAAGGAAAAACACGATGACACACTGTTAGAACATATGGATAATTCCACTATCATACTGTGTTAGATGATATGGAATATTCCACTATCTCAAAACAATTATTGTGTGATATTTCTTTTTCATTAATTTATCATATTATTTGAAAAAACACACTTACCTAAATGAAATTATTTCGATATGAATAAGAATGCTGTGTGTCTCACTTCGAACCTCTATTTTATCGATTAAATTCTTCTGATTATATTTTAGAAGAGAAAAATCATTTGTTATTTTGTGTTTTTTTCCAACTGTAGATTTGATTCGAAAAAGAAATCTGACAAAACATTTCAAATGAAGGGGAGAAGAATGATAACAAAAAATACGCTTTTACTTTTGATTAAATAGATTTTTAATGTTTTACAAGGAAACAATATCGAAGAAAGAAAATAAAATAATAGACATGTGGCAGTTGCATATCGGGTTCGAGAGCGAGAACTAATGTATCAGTTCGAGTTCCTCAGTACAGTTCGTCACAGGTCACGAGCTTGAACTATCACACCCTGGGCTCCACAATAATGTGTCTAAAGAATATTGAAATATTTTCAAACAAAAGACACTTTCTCATACTTCCATATATAATCTTGACAAGCTAATTTGAAAGTTTTTAAAAAATAAATTCTCCAACTAATTTCATTGTGAAATTTATACATTTTTTATTATATATTTATCAACTTCAACTAGTTTCAATTCGATTTTCATTATCAAGTTTTCATAACATATTTCTTTTATTGTCTTCAATTTCGAATAATTTTCAGATCTCATCAAATAAAAATATTCAAATGGACTTTTATCAAAAATTTCTTTTTCAAGTTTATTCGATTTTTTCATTAACTTTCAACAATAAGATTTCACTTTTTCTTTCATTTTTATTGCTTGATTTGTTTTTATTCAACAAAAAATTTCATTTATAAAACTATTTCAAATTTTTGAATTCGAGCATTTCCATTATCAACAACATAAAGATTTCCTTGTTCGTCAAAAGATAAATCATTGGGACCACTGAATTGATTTGACTGATCTCCTTCACCATTTCCACCAATAACGATTTCACCTTCTTCTTCTCCTTCACGCCAACGCATTACTCGATGATTATCAAAATCTGCCACATAGACTTGACCCAAATTATCAACAATCACTCCTGCAGATGACGATAATTGATTGAGATTTCCTCCTTCACCATTTCCTCCAGCCACAATTATTCCTTCATTTGCATCTTTTCTCCATTTCATCACACGGCTATTGTCTCTATCTGTTACATAAACAGATTGATCTTCATCAACAAAGATGAAACTAGGATAATTAAATTGATTGAGTTCATCTCCTTTTCCATTTCCACCAGCCACTAGAATTCCTTCATTGTTATACTCTCCCATTGTCCATCGTCTCACTTCATTCTTCATATAATCATTAACATAAAGAAATCCATATTTATCCATTCCCAAACGAGAACAGTCAATATTATAAATGAGAATTTGTTGACTTTGATTGAACCACTGTATCACGCGTCTGTTTCCATAATCAGCAATAATGATCGAATGGTTTTGTTGATCAACAATTACATCTGTTGGTCGATCCAATTGATCCATTCGACTTCCTTGCCCATTTCCACCTGCAATAATTTGTCCTTGCTTTGCATTATAGTTCCATTCAACAATACGATGATTATCAAGATCAGCAATGAAAATATTTTTGTTTTTATCAATAAAGATTCCAGCAGGGCCACGGAATTGATTTAATTTTTGTCCTTCTCCATTTCCACCAGCCACAGTGATGCCATTTTGTTTCCATTCTTGATTGATCTTAGCTAAAACAGATAAAATTTATAGTTTCAAGTATTTTGTGAATGTGGATAAGAATATTGCATCTATTATCCATCGATCCACTCACTTTTTATTGGTGGACAGTAACTTTCATGAGTCAATGCAACTGGATAACAAAGAGGACTATCATCACATTCAGGATGTCGAACACAAATTGTATTTGGTTGAAGACACGAATTGTCTGAAGAATTGCATAGTACAAGACGAGAACATATAGGCCAGAGGAAACCACAGACTCCTGTATTATTATTATTAGTACCTACAATATGAAAGCATCTACATGCACTATTTGTAGAGCATTCACCGTATTGAGGTGTCTTCTCACATATTTCAGATTTAATTTGAACTATGAAAGTAATAAAATAATACATATAAACATATAAAATAGAATAGAAATCAAACCTGTTATGCTAAAATATGAAATCAATGGATGTTAACAAAATGAATGATAAAAATGAATAAGTATTTACCTGAGAATAATGAAAACAACGTAGCAGTAGACATTAATTGTATTCATAGTTGATTTTAAAATAAGAGAATATGACGAAACAGTGTGTTTTAATTTCTACAATACAGATAATATATTAAGGTGAATGTAATTGAAATATCAATAACCGACAATTTGATATCCATTTCATTTCTTCTAATCTGTCTGATTCTTTTCTGCGAAAAATGCAATTGAAAAATGCATAGATCATTATACAAGTGCACGATTTACTTTCCATTGATTATTTTTAAAATTAATTGTTTTTTTTTTCGTTGAAAAATATTATTTTTATTGCTGAGGATTTACTTTCCGTTGATTGCTTAGACCATACGAAATGAGTAGAGGGTATTCGTTGCGACAGTCAATGAAATAAGAGAACGATTTTCAATTTCAAGAATATGAGACGACCGGGGAGCGCCAATTTCGAGACGTCAAAAATAACAATGGTACACCTGATGAGTGTTTAATAAAATTGTGGCAACGTTATGATGTAGGTCGTACTAATATTGTAACGCTTTTAAAAGTTGCTAGACTCAAATACTTTCAAAGTCCATCGAAAAAATAAACAAATATCTCTCTTTTTTTTAGTTATTTATTCATATATTTATTGAACTTCTGCTCTGAGAAAACATTGATTGTCGCTATGACTATACTCACTACTCATTTCGTATAATCTAAGCAATCAACGGAAAGTAAATCCTCGACAATAAAAGTAATATTTTTCAACGAAAAAAAACAATCAATGGAAAGTAAGTGCACGGAATGTAAATCGTGAAATCCATCATCATGTGATAAAGTTAAGAGTCAACTGCTATTAGTATATTTTCAAAGAGTAAAATATCTATCAATAACATTAGAAGTGGGTAGTTTCAAGCTCCGCATTTATCAACTATAAAATTTTATTCTCTTTACGAAGATAAAAGTAATGTTTGTGGAGAATAGTTATTTTTCACATTGCAAAGAACTATTGCATTTAAATGTAATTTTAGATATAATTTTGATTTGTGTATAATAAGAAAAGGAAAATGTTGTTAGTAGTATTTATTCGAGATACTGCAAATACTTAGAAGAAATTCTGAGTGAGTATCATGTACTTTTCAACTACATTCAAGCCATGCCCACACCCTCTCTGATATCGGAAGATCCAGATAAAAAGTCTTTTTCATATGCTATTCGTAATATCGAGCATGCTGTTAATGAAGGATCAGTTATGAGCAAACCGGCACTTGCACGTTTCACCCAAATAGAAAAACTGTTTGATGAAGTAGTCGCAGTAATTGGGTTCATATTGTTTTGAATATGGATATCTATTATTTTCCATGCGGAGTTGGTCAGTATGATACTGATTTTCAAACGCAAGTGTGTGTGTTGGTATGCTCTCTATCAG